TAAAAAGTACTCGACTACATCATTGCCTTCTGTGATCTTCAGTGATTATGATGAGTTCTCGACATGAACCACAGGCAGGCTTTGAAAACCCAGCTCTGGACTTCTAAAATACGCCAGCTCCTATTTAATGTTAGAATGTTAGCTTGAGCCACTGTCTTGAGCCACCTTGGGCCAAATTTATATAAAGCAGGCTAGTGCTCTGAGAGAATAACACCACTTTCTCATGGAGAGAAATTTAGATTGGGGAGAGAAATTAACCAGAGTGGGATTTGAACCTGGGACCTCTGCAGTGCAGCATCCGTGCTTTTAAATACCAACCGAGCTCTCCAGCCCTACATTAGCATTTTAAAAATGGTCAATCTTTGCTCAAAAGGTGCATGGCGGAAGCCATAAACAAGTATGCGCCATACGGCCACGGACCACAACTAAATTCACAATGCTGGCCACATCAGCAAGGCTGCAACCCTGGGAAACGGCAGCATGAGAGCACTCAAACAGGGCAAGGTTTTCCCACACCTTGTACATATATACAGGTAAAGAATTCTTAATAGTCAAGACCAGTCGACTGATTGACTAAAAGCATCTATGGCTCCAGTGTGCATGTTTGTAAAGAAGGGTTTAGTAATCTGAGCACCACAAGATTCATTGGAGAGCTTTTGCATTGGTCAATCTGTCTCTTTGGGCAGAGGTGATTTGAGGGAAGAGGTACTCTCTCAAAAACAAAGGTATAATGGTTTCCATGCCAAGAAGAAGTTAAAACAAGGGGCAGAGAGTTTGTTTTTTGGGGACCATGAACAATAGAGGACACTGAGGTCCATGATTGACAATTGTGTACAAAACACATTGGAAGTCTTCCAAAAAAGTTAAAGAACAAAAGAGGAACAATAGGAGGTCCCCAATTGCAGGCAAATACACAATTGTGTTGGGTTTGTGGGCAACGGATCAAATGAGGAATTCTGGGTAGGGCTTCACTAGGTTAAGGGGACAATTTCTTTTGTTAAGCAAATTAGGACCAAGTTGCGGGGGCATTTCTCTGTCCCCATAACATTTTTGGATGCCACAGAATAGCTGCAATATGTGTGCATTTGTCCCCGCAACTACGGAACAAGTACAAGTGTGCATGCAAGTGAGTCTGTGCAATCTACCCCAAGAGGTGAGGAAAGACCCATCACTTGTGCAAATAGCCAACTTTCGACAGAATGCGCACAAACCAATTTCAGTAGAGCACGGGCGCACAGCCATAATGATGACGTGTCTTGCACCTACATGTACCATTCGTCTTTGTGTATGTCTACAGCTGAGGCTGCAGGTGTGCAGACATGTTGAATTGACATGTACCGCACAACAGTCAGAAATGTGTGAGGTAGCGGTCCTTCCAAAGACCTGACATGAGTCGAGTCGACCGATGATCGTTTTTCCATGCTTTAGTAATGGAGGTTATAGGGCCTTGTAACTGCAATGGTGAATGAGGAAACTAGGTGGTGAAAGTGCGAGGTTTTTGTCTTCAACTTCTGAAGTCGTCTGTCCTTTCTTAAACTTACAATCACACCCCAACAAATGTAAACAAATTTTAGTCAACCGGGATCTCTCCCCTAGTGAGGGATTAGAATCCTATGGAAACCTATGTGAGGTACATGTATCATAGGACATGCAACGAGAGGTGCTGTCAATTTCTGTTGTCAAATTGTTTCTCTGAAGAGGTCAAATTGTGTGACCGATCAGACCAAACGTGGAAACCACTTTGGTATAGAAGGAAACACAAAGCCACTCACGAGTGTACACACACAACAGCAATACAGATAACCCAAAAAGATGCAACATTTATCTGCATCTCTCAACATCTATGTTGCACAATTGTTGCCCTCCCTAAAAAACCCCAAACACTTTCTTCAACAGTGGCAAAATGTCAAAGAACTTTGTCACAACACCGTCAAAATTTGGCACAATCTGACACTGGCAAAACAGCCATTGATGTCGAAAAAGTCCACAAGACACAAAACGCCGCAAAAATACACCCGACAACACAGCAAGCCCATGTACAACACATGTACCCACTCAAAAGAGCAGTCGCCATGTTCACTAGGCAACAACTTTTGCACAAGGGAAAGTTGGGAAAGTGGAAATGAGAAAAGGAAGGGTTAAAAAGCAACTGTTACCCAGGCAACAAGCCAACACTCTATGTCATTTTTTTGGTGGCATTTGAGTTTTCCTTTTTGGAACTTGTCTCTTACCTTGGATAACTCGGCATTAGATGACATGATGATTGCTCTCTTGAGTGTACAACAGAGGAAAACAGAGGTGGAGTTTTTAAAAAGGAGTACAGTGCTACAACAAGTGGGCAAGGCGGAGAGGGGATTGTGGCTTTGGACTTTTGGGGGTAAAAAATATAGTTTTTACATCATGAGTGCAGCAACAATAACAAGCAGAAAGTGGTGCAGAAGATTTTCACTGAGTCACACTAATTTTTTTACAGAGCCACAATAAGTTATCGGATTGCACTAAACCTAACCATTTGAATTCCTCAGACTAAAGACACTGTTGCTATACCTCATGATTTGGGACAAGCTTTTGCATAGCGACCACCATTTCTGAACTGACTGGTCCTTATTATCCATTGAGAACAGTGTATTGGTGCAAGGCGTCTCTTACGTGACTAAGCAAAACCTTCCCCTGAATCATGAGGCATAACAACAATGTCTTTAGTATGGAGAATTCAAACTGTTCTGTTCATGTGAATGTAATTAACTCAATGTACCAGATTTTATTCAAATTTAACTCCCATAAGGCTTATTTATCCAGCAGGAACAACACTGCGGCGTAAAACTTTTACAAGTTTACAATAAAGAGCCTCGTGGGAAGAATG